TTCCAAAGAAAAAAACAAAGCCGATTCCCAAAGGGCCGTCGGCGAAGGCAGGTGAGTCCCTGTTCTGCAAGGATGCGCCGGTTGGGTTTTATTTCTTCTCCGAGGCCGAATCCTGGCGGGCCGACGGCCTTCCCGGTCGGGTCGTCCCACCGGACGCGAAATTAAGGCCAATAAAGGTGGGTTAATAACGAGTTTTTCGCGATGCGAGCCAGCTTCGAGCCGCACCCGGAGGAGCCGTGAGCGTGTTCCTGATATAGATATATTTCTCCCCAGCGTTATTTCATTTTTTCCCACGTTACTGCGTTTTCCCCAGCGTTATCCCGACAGTTTCGCTGCCGGACGCCGATAAACATCCCTTGGCCGAGCTGAGCACCGGGGGCTATGGATGCGCGCCGCTGGAGGGGTCTCCCGCCCGGGAATCTCTCCGACTGTCCCAACGGCTCCCGCTGGGTGATGGACGTGTTCAACGAATGCGCCCAGGACGGCTGGGACATCGCCAGCGTCGTCCTGGGTCTGGTTTCCATCCTCTGCTTTGCGGCTGCCTCTTTTCCGTAAGTATCGCTCCCGAAAACCCGGCCGAGCCCTTCCCTTGGTACAACTCCCCTCTTTAAAAATCAAAATTCAAGCCCGAGCTGCCCGAATTATTAAACCTACCCGGGCAAAAGCGATCTGGGCTTGGAAAATTGGGGTTTAACAGGAGGAGAGGGAGCGGGCAGTACAGCCCCAAAGCCCTGCCTGTTGTTATATTGTTGTTGTTACGCCTGACGGCTGTACTCGCCCGCGTAAGCCAACCGCAGCGCAGCCGTTGCAGGTCGTACGTGCAGAAGAAATGTTTCCGGGAAGTGCCGGGGACAACCGTGGCAGAGGGGGCCCTGGGGGGTCGGTCTCGGCGTATCGTCGGATTATTTCAGAACCGGAGAGGCGGTTTCTGCGACTGGCGCTTCTCCTCGCTGCTTTCCGCCCCCGCACGAGGGACGGGCCGCAAGGGCTTGAGCCCAGCGGGTTGCCGCGAGCACCCGGTGGGTCGCGGGACTCCTCACGGGGCCCAGTTTGCAGGGGAGCACGTGGCTTTGCTAGAGGAAATCTCTGCTCTTCCTCCCCCTTCCCCGAACGCTTTGGGTGGGTCGCAGTCGCGAAATGATCCAGGTGGGAACAACAGGGAAACCTGGGGATGGTTCCCAGGTAGCGCTGAACCGGCCGGGGGGGTAACGGTTTGTGTCTCTGCCCGACGCTCTCTCCGCAGGCAGTTTTACCAAGCCTGCAGAACGGGCATCATGGACCAGGCTCTCTCCATATATTTCCTGCTGGGATGGCTGGGCGGAGACCTCCTAAACCTCATCGGTTCCTTCCTGGCCGATCAGTTGCCGCTGCAGGTACCGACCGACTCGCTGGGGCCGGGTCGGCTTTCAAACACCCCGGACTCCAGGGCGGAGGGATGGGATGGGTGCGGCTCAATCCAGCACCGGGAACCAGAGACCCAAACGGCCCGGGGGGTGCTCCCTTCTCCCCCGGGAGGGTGCTCCCTTCTCCCCCGGGAGGGTGCTCCCTTCTCCCCCGGGAGGGTGCTGGGATGGGATGGGTGCGGCTCAATCCAGCACCGGGAACCAGAGACCCAAACGGCCCCGGGGATGCTCCCTTCTCCCCCGGGAGGGTGCTCCCTTCTCCCCCGGGGGGGTGCTCCCTTCTCCCGGCCATCAGCTGGAAGCCTTTCTGCAGGTAGGACCAACCCATCCTTCTCCCCGCAGGTTTACACGGCCATTTACTACGTGCTCGCAGACCTGGTGATGCTCTCTCTCTACTGCTACTACAAAGTGAAGAACCGGGGCGGAGGATGTGAGCTGGGGTCACGGGCGCAGCGGGGCTGTGCGCTCCCCTCGGCATGTCTTTCGGGCTGGCTTCTCCTCGGCTGCGGAGCCGGGAGAGGAAGCAACCCCTGGGGGAGATGCATCGGGGCAGGGGCGCTTTGCGGACGCATCGACGCAGCTATCAGATGCCCCTTGTTGCCTGCTGGCTTTTTCCTTAGCTAATCTGAGCACCTATGAAAGCCGCAGCGAGCAAATAGCTACCGGCCGCGCCTGGGGCTTCTGCAAACCGCCGCGCGCGGTGTCAGGCTTGAAAATAAACCCCCTGTGAGTTGCATTAAGTACAGAAAGAAATTTCTTAACCGCAGTTACGCGGCGACTCCGTGTCGGAGCTGGAAACCACAGCCAGATCTCTTGACTCAGGCCAGCGCTTTAAGGGAAGGGGTGAAGTTTTCCGGCTGTTTCGGGGTTGATAGTCCTCTTGCAATTAATGGCAGCCTCGACACGATGGAGAAGTTCCTCCCTGTTCAAATGGAGTGAAAAGGGAACCTGAACGGGGCTCTACAGTTCTTGCAAGGCTTAAACAGCGAGAGAAAATCCACTTTTTAGCGTAGCAGCTTTGTGTGAACTACAAACGGGCATCCCTTGGGACCCTGAAAACTGTTTAACTTACAAAAGCCATTTGAATTTGTTAAACCAAGTGATAGACGGCCCATCGACTGCATGGTTTTGTTAATACTGGAGAGCTTGTTTACAGAATATAATACGTCTCGCCGTGGAAGCGGGGCTTGGTCTGGCAGGGATTTGAACGTGCGCTGCTGTGAGTTAAGACAGTGAAAAGTTTCTAGATGGAGGCGATGATTTTGAAGAGCCCTGAACCCAAAGAACCTCGAGTGCTCTCGGTCTGCAGAGATAGGAGCAGTTTCCTCCCCGATAACTTACAAATTGCCCCTATCGCTGCGAGATAAACAGCCCACGGCAGCTATTGCCCGAATTACTCGGTGCTGGCTGTGCTGCCGCGGAGATAAGGGAGAGCTTGAAGGTCTCTTTACCCGGAGGGGGTCCTGGCACCCACCAAGGCTGCGGGGCTGCACCGGGGGCTGATGGAGGAGCCCTCCTTAACCAGCCGCTGCTTGATTCCCTGCAGTTGCTGCCCTGATCAACGCAGCCTTCGTCTTCCTTTCCCTGGGGACGGTGTCGACCGTCTCCTCCCTGGGCAGAGGTGCCGTCGTGGCGCAGGACCCGGCGACGTTTAAAGTGAGGTCTCTGCTGTCCGCTCGCATGGATGAGCTTGGGTCAAAGGTGAGCCGGTTCCTAAATCTGGGTGGTGGGGGGAGAGAAGATAAACTATCCGGTGGGTTGGGCATGTCCTGCTGGACCAGTGGGATCCCGCTCAGCGCTCAGCGGGGCGAGGGATAGATGGGGAACTCAGAGGCTGGGTTTTGGTCCCACTGTCGCCTCGCACAGAGCCGTGGCGTGGGTGGTAAGCGCGTCTCTGAAAACACGGGGGCTGCTCGCAAACCCCCCCCGCCTTTGCCTTGCAGCCTTTCACCAGGAGCGAGATCATTGGCTTCACCATCGGCTCCGTCTCCTCTGTGCTGTACCTGTGCTCCCGAGTCCCCCAGATCTACACTAACGTAAGTGCCGTGCCGTGAGCGGGGCAGGAGAGCAGCCCGGCCCTGGGGACCCCCGGGGTCCTGAGATTTCAGATTGAAGAGGGGCGGTGGGATCATCTGTCTCCTCTTTGCTCAGAGGTCCCCGTCTCTGATCATTTCATAAGGGACTATTTTTCTGTACTTCTGCTCCGAAACCTGATTCATTTTTCTCCCCTCCCTTTAACATACCAATATTTTGAGGGTGGGGCTTTCATTTAGTCTTTATTTACAAGCAAAAGGGGAACTAAAAGGCTCTTGGCATTGAGTCACCACCTTTTTTCTTCGCCTTTTTTTTTTTTTGGCGGGGGGGGGGCAGTGATTAATACTACTTTCTAGTGAGACTTCGGAGGGCTGCACCCAAGCTCCTCTCTCTGGCCCCTCTTCTTCCAGTACAAGAGGAAATCCACCACCGGGGTCTCCTATTCCCTTTTTGCCCTGGTGATGTTGGGGAACTTGCTCTACGGCCTCAGCGTCCTCCTGAAGAACCCCGAGCCGGGGCAAGGCGAAGGCAACTACGTCCTGCACCATCTGCCCTGGCTGGTGGGCAGCCTGGGCGTCCTTTCCCTCGACGTGGTTGTATCCTTTCCCCGCCAACGCTTCCCTCTGGGATGGCATCCTGCCGGGAAGGCTTTGCGGGGAGCGATCCCGCCTCGGGGCAGGCAGGGTTAGGCAGGAGCGGGTGGGTTGATGCTGCTGAGCGGTTGCTGTTGAGCTGTGCTTGCTCACTGGCGTGCCGGTGAGTAATTTACGGTGTGGCAACAGCTGAATGCTTCAGGCCCTTGTTTGCATTAAGCTCGTCGTCCTGTTTCCACCTCTCCTGGCACAAGCAGCCTTTTTTCGGGGGGGGCGAGACCCAACACATCGCGTAGACCCACTCTTGCTTGCGTGAAGAGCCTTAACCTCTTCTCAGATCTCCTTCCAGTTCCTTGCTTATCGGAGAGGAAGACCCAGTACCCGCGAAGAGAGGGATGCTCTTCTCGGCGAGCAAGGTGACAGCTTGGAGAGCTGACGAAGGGACCTGCCCTGGAGTGAGAACAGGATGATGCGGACGAGAAAGCTGGCCCTAAAGCCGGGCAAACCGGCCCCTCCATCCTGGTGGCTCTTGGGAGAAGAGGACTTGAGCCAGTGGGTGACATGTTGTGCTGCTAAGCCGCGACGCCCAGCCGGGTGGCAGAGGATGCTGCTGAGAGACCGCGTGCCTCGTTGATACCGATGATGGTATCGGGATAAACAGGGAATTATTTGATACCTCAAAAGGTCGCTCTTTGCTGCTCTTACGCCCCACAGCTGAGCCCGGTCACTTTTGCTTTACCTGCTGTCTTCTCAAGGGTGATCTGGAGCTCCCTCGGTAGTGGCAAACGTGAGAAGAGTTTAAGGGGCTGCGGGGAGGGGACAGGGATGACCGACCTGCCACGAACACGAGCGCCGCTTACCTCTGTGGGCCTCTCGTCTCCACCGCTGAGCTCTTTCTGGAAGATGCGGCGGTGGCTGGAACCAGTTCAGGAGGAAGGGAAGGAGCAGCGTAACCAAAGTGCTTCAGTCCACGCATACCTATTTTAATTAGCACGGCTCACACGTCTATAAAACAAGCCCTTGCCCCACGTGCCTCCTTTGGTTTTATTTTGCCGGTTCATCTGGCAGCTCCTGCCTCTTTCTTAATGCGCCTCATAGTCCCCATTTCTCTGGCTTCTCATTTTTTGCCTCACGCACGTTTTCATTGCATGGGCTTCCCGGGGAAGCTGCTCCATCGCTCTCTGGTTAGCTGCGGAGACAGTCGTCCAGGCAGAAGATGCTGCCTCTCTGCTCAGTCTGGTTTTTGGTCCTGCCTTCTCTCGTTGATGAATTTATCCCCAACACCGATTAATTTATCCCCAACACCAATTAATTTATCCCCCTCTCGGGGCCCTGCACACCGGCATGGTGGCTCCTTGACCGCGGAAGGACAAGAAGCGGCGGCGGTTTGGGAAAAAGCCGTGTCCCCGGCAGGAGAGAAGCTTTCGGGTGGGCAGGGCAGAGCGGTGGCGTAGCCACGAGATGGCTGCCTCAGCCCGGCGCCACGGCCTCCCGCCCGTGCGCTGAGCTATTTCTGCTGGGGAGGAGCAGCTCAATCCCCCCGGGCAAGCAAAAGGAAGATCAACCACAGCTTGCAGGCCCTTCAAGAAAAGCTAATGCAACTTGTCCTTTTAAAAACAAGAACCTTCCTTTTCCTGCAGTCACTATTAGCTCTTCTTTTTGCTCCCCGTTTCTCTGTCTCCAGCTACTTTCCCGATGCCCAGCGCTTCCCCGCTGCCCACCCACGCAGCACCCCGCTCCGTGCCCCTTTTGGCTTTGGCTGTATTACCATTAATTTACGATGCCTCAGCCAGTCCCATGACATTTGTCCTCCCCGAGGAAGTCACCCTCCTCCCTGCTTCGTTCTTGCACCGAGGAAGCCAAGGCCCAGCTCCGTGATTACACAGCTCAGCCTAAATCGTACGTGAGGTGGGAGTCAGGCTGCCCGATGCCAGTCAGACTGCAACAGCGGATTAATTAAAACACAAGCTGTGCCAGTATTTGGAGCTGCCCCATTTGTTTTTGGAAAGAAAAATTATTTTTTCAGACTCTTTGAGCCCCTTGAACAAAGCGGGTGGGTTTTCACTCCATTCATTCACAATCCTTCCCTTCCAGGCTCGCGGGCGATGGGGCTGCTCGCCTCTTCCCCGTCCTTTAGCAAGCAAGGTGTCCTCCGCTGTCTTTCCCTAGGAATTGCAGAAAAACAATTCGTAGCCAGTACTAATACAAACCATGAGCGGATTCCTAGCAAGATAGAAAGCACAGCTTCGTTAGACCTCAATACCTATTTATTAGGGATAAAGACCACGGGGCTCGGTTCTATTAAAGGAGTGTTTTTTAACCTCAGCTCACGTTTGCTAGCTCAGCCCTGAAGTGCTGGGGAAGGCACAGTTGGTTTCCCGAGAGCTGGATTTACTAAGCTGACCCACGCAGGGGGATAGGATGGGATCTGGCACGCCTGCCTTGCGGAAACGGAGGTTCATGGCACTACATAATTGCCACGTACCAGCTAGCCAAGAGCTTTTCTTAAAGCCAGAAAAACCCCCTCTAATCTAAGGAGGTTAAAAAAAATAAAATATATATATATGTTTATGTGCCAGCAGCCATCTAGGTGGTGGAGGATGGAAATTCGTGTCGCAAAGAGGCTCTCGCTGAGGTTATCATCCCTCCGAGCCTGCCATGAGCCCTGTCCCCAGGCGAGCCTGCCATTTAAGATTTCGCAGAGGCCAGCGTTAAACCAGAGAAGGCACGGACCAGGAACAACTTGTCCCAGAGGGAGAAGGTAACTCGGTGGTAGGCTGGGGGCTGTAGCAGCCCAGCCAAAGCTGGAGGTTAGTACCCAAACCATCAGGTTACGCTGCCTGGAGAAGAGGAATAAACCGCTGCTGCAGTTGCATCTCTCCTGCAGCTCGGACCTGTACGAGCAGAAAGGGTACATCCCCGCCCACAGGCAATTAGGGTCTCTCTGTGTACCCCAAGCCTATACAGCAAATTTATCGGAGATGAGACGCTTCCATTTTCGGCTCCTGTGCGGGGATGGCTTTGGAGAAGGAAAACAAACCCCCCGAAAAACTTCAGCACACGACAGTTGGGAACAGGCGAGAGGAACCGCGCGTCTCCCCCCTCCTGGGCTAACACGCTATTTCCGAGCCTCAGGAGTTTACGCAAACTTCTCTCCAACTTCGGAAAAGGTTCTTCCTCGGACAGAACCAAGAGACGACGACGACGACATGCGAACGCGTTCCCCGTGGGGACCCCGGCCTCGAGGCGAGCCTGCGCGCGCCTTTCCCCAGCCTGCCTCCCGCAGGAGCTGCGTTAGGGACCGGAGGGCCCCCGGGTGAATACTCCGGCACGGGACTGCAGTCACCTGCAGACGTCTGGATGGGAAATAGGTGACATCAGAAAAGCAAAGTTAGAGCGCGTTAATCAATATTAATGCCAACCGTCTCCATTCGCATAGGGTCACCCGAAGGCTAATTCCGCCGGCCACGCGCGGGAGGAGCCCAGCAGGTATTTGCTTTCTCAGTGCCACCAGGATTAAGAGTTTGTTGTCACCAAAGCACGTGGAAGCAGGCAGCGGGCCTGAAGCTGTGCAGGGTCCCTCTGGCTGGCAAGGGTTTGAAGAGGGGGGAAGCCTGGATGAGGTTCACAAATCGCATAGGGACCAAGCAGAGAAGGAGCTTTTGGGTGAGCATCGATGGTTGGAACCATCCACCTCGACTTGCCAAGCGAACCGAAACGCCTCTCCTCTGCCCACGGGAGTGTTTCAACACACAGGTTCCCCCCCGTTCTCAATAGAAGAGATAATGAGAATGTAAATGGAGAGGTGAAATATCTGCATGAGAAATCCAGATGTAATTGAGTTCCCAACAGTATTTGAGGTTGTATATTTATTCTGCCATGTGAGCAATAACTTGATCAGCTATAGGATTGAGTCCTAAAATAGAATATGTTACCAGAATACTCTAAAAGCTTAGTGTTGGTAACACATAGATAAGTTCCTGTGACTGGGAGGTATTGCCAAATGGTAAAGGAACAAAAAAGGAAAAAAAAAAGGGGGGGGGGGGGAGAAAAAGCTTTCTTCTTTTCTGTGGCCAGTTAACACAGCGGCTGTTTGGATGGCTGATGTGCTCGCGTTGGCCTTTGTTCCCGAGCACACGTCTACCTACCTACAGCTACAGCGCCTGCGTCCAGTTGCTACGAAGGAAAGCGTTTGCGGCACAAACCCCACGTAACGCTGCAGGAAGGAACGAGAAATAAGGAGGACACCAACCGCACACACTGCTTCCTGGGATTTTTTTTTTTTATTTTTATTTTTTTGTTTTAGTCTTTTTTTCTTTTTTTTTTTTTTTCTTTTTTAGTATGGAGGCTCAAGTATCAGATGTAGATTCAATTTAAGCTTTACAAAAAAACAAAAATCAAAACAAAAACCCTTTTTGCATTCCATAAAAATCGACAGAAAAGCGCCTTGGAACCAGGCTATAGAAGAGCAGAACTTTCAGCAGGTCTCCTAATGAACGTCTCCTTGCAAATCTGGTTTAGTCAGTATAGTACAACACCGAGGAACACCCTGTCTTCCCTCCCTCCCGCCAGCCGTCCCCTGTGCCCAGCCCCCAAACACACCTGGAATAGATTTTTTTTTTTTTTTTCTTTTTTTCCAGTTCTTCCTCTTTCACACACCACAGTATTTAATAAATTTTTGTTTTACATTTTTTACACCAATGTAACAAAAGGCAGGAGGGGGTGGGAAGGAAAAGACAAACAATGATCTGTGTTTATGCATATAAATGGAGGAGGGTGGAAGGGGGGGGGGAATACATGGACTTCTACAGAAACATAGCCTAAGGTCTCAATAGTAAAATGTGGTGCAAAGTAGGCCTCAGAGACTGAAAAAGTTTGTACAGCTTTATTCATGGGGAGAAGATGGCGTTGCATGGATAATAATGAATGCAAATTGTGACGTGACGTAACTGAAAAGGGCAAGGGGGGATGAGTTTTCTAAGAAAGGGGTCTAAAGAGTGCATGGTATGTCTTGTTAGCATGAAGAGTATTTTAACTTTGCTGCTTTCTCTTCAAAGCCTCCACCAGGTCGTTTTTAAGAGCTTCTTGTTTTGATTTGTCTGCAAAAGTCTGCACAGACCTGCGGGGAAGAAGGAAAGGCAAGTCAGAGGCGAGGCGTTTGAGAGAAGGCGTTTTTAACAGTTCTTCTGGCACGTGAGTCAATAGGAAGGAGAAGCACCTCAACCCAGGCTTAGGCAAAACAAACCTCAGCTTGCCTGGTTTAATACGGAAAGCAGAAGGCAAAGTGAACACTTCAGTGAGTAAAACCAAAGCAAAATTCACTCTAGCAAGGCTGGCACCAAAAGACACGCTTCCCCCGAAGTTCCGCTCAGCCTCCAGTCGCTGGAGGGGAGACGCCCCGTTTTTTTACGTTACAGATCGGAACCCCCCCCGTGTACCACCAGCGAAGGGTGTTAGCGCTCTCGCTCTCCAAATGACCGTGACGGGAAGACAGAGAAAATCCAGCCTCTACCCACGAACGTGAGAAGGGCCGGGGCTGGGGGTAGCTCCTGAACCTGTTCGCAGACTGTTCACCCAGGGTCGAGCAGCCACGTCAAAACTTCCCTCCAGCACATTCAGCAGTGGGAAAAGCGGCCAGAGTTTCTGTTCTCGAATTTGCTTTTCCAGTTTGTACCTTACCTAGAGTAATTCGCGAATCAAAGCAGCCAAAGAAGAACAGAGATACTGTCAGCGAGATTATTGCAGGGGTTCCCTTTTGCTAAAAGTCTGGTTATAGGGAAAAAAAGAAAGCTTCATCTTTTCTCTAGCTCTAAGAGAGCTGCGGAGGATCCTCCATTTTCAGTGGTACAATAAGAGATTACCAATTTTTAAAAAAGTCCTCTTAAATATGATCACCGATAGAATAATACTACTAGACTTTTCAGGAGCTGCTAACACAGAGGAGCGGTTAGGATCCAGTTTGGTAGGATTTCTCCCCACATAAACCATATTTCACACCCTTTTCAGTACTCAAAGCTACCTCGTTTTGCC